GGATAGAGCGTCGGCCTGCGGACTGAAGGGTCCCAGGTTCGATTCTGGTTAAGGGCATGTACCTTGGTTGCGGGCATATCCCCAGTGGGCGGTGTGCAGGAGGCAGCTGATCAATGTTTCTCTCCCATCGATGTTTCTAACTCTCTATCCCTCTCCCTTCCTCTCTGTAAAAAATCAATAAAATATATTAAAAAACCAAAAAACTTCTATTTAGAAATTTATACCCAGAAAAAGATGCATTCAGAGAAAAGATTTAAGAAGACCCCAGAATTTCTGAGTTACTGTTGAAGGTTTCCCCTGAATAAACTCTGGGAGATATGGCTGTTCTCAAATGCATACATCACAACCCAAAGTAGCAAGGCACAAAAAGGAAACAAGGAAATATTGCCTGACTAAAGGAACACAATAAATCTCCAGAAACTGACCCTAATGAAACTGTATATAAATTACCTGACAAAAATAGTCAAAATCACTGTCATAAATATGCTCAATGAGCTCAGGAAAATAACGCATGAATAAAATGAGAACATCAATAAAGATAAATCATTTTTTTCTAAAATTTTTATTGATTTCAGAGAGGAAAGGAGACGGAGAAGGATAGAAACATCAATGATGAGAATTACCGATTGGCTGCCTCCTACACGCTCCCTACTAGGGACCGAGCACACAACCCAGGCACGTGCCCTTGACCGGAATCCAACCCGGGACCCTTCAGTCCACAGGACCAAGCTCTATCTATTGAGCCAAACCAGCTAAGATGAGAAATAATTTTTTTAATGGAAATTTTGGTGCTGGAAAATATAATATCACTAAATGGGTTCCACAGCAGACTTAAGCAGAAGAAAGAATCAAGGAACTCAAAGACAAGTCATTTGAAATTATTCAGTCAGAGAAACAAACAAACAAACTAACTAACAAACAAAAACAATAAAGAAGAGTGAAGGAAGCTTAAATAACTTAGGGGCTATCATCAATCAGACTAATATATGCATTATGGAAGGCCCAAAAGGAGGACAGAGAAAGGTGGAAAAGGCGTATCTGAAGAAATAATGATAAAAATCTGTGGAAAGAAAGGGACATTCAGATTCAGGAAGCCCAACAGCCTCTTATGAAATACAAGAAAAGCAGTACTGAGACAGAAGTTTAGTGGTAAATGTCTACATTAAAATAGAAAGAGCTCAAATAAACAACTCAATTTTGTACCTCAAGAAACGAAGAAAAGAATAAATTAATATTAGCAGAAGGAAATAATAAAGTCAGAGCCGAAATAAACAAAATGGGGGAGGGGGGTCAAATCAGTAAAACAGTTTTTTTGTTGTTGTTTTTTGAAAGACCAGGAAATTGGCAAACCCTTAACTAAGAAAAAGAGAGAAGATTCAAATAAATAAAATCAGAAATAAAAAAGAATATTACAACTGATGTCACAAGAGAATAAGAATTAACACTAATCATCCTCAAATTCTTCCAAAAAATTTAAGAGGGAACACTTCCACACTTACTTTATGAGGCCAGCATTATTCTGATACCAAAGCCAAACAAAAAACTACATGAAATACAGACCAATATCCCTAATAAATATAAATGCAAAAAAATTCTTAGCAAAATACTAGCAAACCAAATTCAACAGCACAGTAAAAGAATGATACACCATGAGCAAGTGGAATTTATTCCTAAAATGAAAGAATGATTCAACAATTTTGAGCAAGAACAAAAAAAACTAGAGGCCTCACACTTCCTGACTTCAAAACATATCACAAAGCTACAGTAATCAAAATAATTCGGCACTGGCATAAAGATAGGCATAAACCAATGGAAGAAAATAGAGAAATTCATGCACATATGATAGACTGATTTTTTACAAGGATGCTAAGAACACACAATAGGAAAAAGATAGTCTCTTCAACAATGTTGGGGGGAAAAACAATTTCCACATGTAAATGAATGAAATTGGACTCTTTTATTACACTAAATAAAAAAATCAACCCAAAATGAATTAAAGACAAATACAAGACATCTATCTATATATATAAAAGGCTAAGTGTCCATCCACCCGACCGGTAGCTATGACATGAACTGACCACCGGGGGACAGATGCTCAATGCAGGTGCTGCCATGAGGCGCACTGGCCATTTAAGAATAAACTGCACTACAGACCTGGTGCTGACAAACCAACACTCGGCTTCCCCCAAGTGGGACACAGCCCCCGCCACCACCCTGGAGCAACACCCCACCAAATCGCAGCCAACGCTGCCAAGACCCCATGGTGCAAAATGCAGCCCACGGCCTACAGCCCAGCCCGGAAACTGTCACTGTGGGCGCCAGGTACTGACATCATGTAGCAACGCCTGGCTTCCTCTCCCTAGCCAACTAGCCTCCTTGGAGTTTCTTCAGCCCAGGAACCGACTTCCTTTACAGCCAGGTGCAAAAACATTTTACAATTTAACCAAATGTTGTGAGGCGTTTTCCCATGACTCATCTCATTTGATCCTCACAGAGGTCCTGGAGTAGGTAGATAGGAGACTCAGTAGAATCTTATTTTCTTTTCATTAGCAAGATGCCAATAGTGATATGAAAATATTTCTTCTAATTAATTTCCTTTCAATGTGCATGAATCTGTGCACCAGGACACTAATGAAACTATAAAACTCCTAAAAGAGCCCTGGCCAGTTTTCTCAGGAGTTAGAGTGTTGGCCTTCAGATCTAAAGATGACAGGTTTGATTCCTGGTCAAGGGCTTGTACCTTGGTTGTGGGTTCAAACCCTGGGGCACGTGCAGGAGGCAACCAATGGATGTGTCTCCCTCTCATGTCGATGTTTCTCTCTCTCTGACTCCTCCCCCCCCCCCACCCTTTTCCCTCCCTTCCACTCTGTATGAGAAAATATCTTCAGGTGAGGGTATTTTTTTAATTCCTAAAAGAAAATACAGGGTAAAGCTTCATGTCTTGGCGATGGCTTTCTGGACATGACACCAAAAGCATAGGCAACAAAAGCAAAAACATACATGTGGGACTATATTGAACTAAAGAGCTTCTGCACAGTAAAGGAAATATTCAATAGAGTGAAAAGGCAACCTACAGAATGGAAGAAGATATGTGCAAACCATATATCTGATAAGGGTTAATATCCAAAAATAAATAAGGAACTCATACAACTCAATAACAACAACAAAATCAAATAACCTAATTTTAAAATGGGCATGGATTTGAATAAACATTTCTCTAAAGACATAAAAATGTCCAATAGATACTCAACATCACTAATCATCAGGAAAATGCAAGTAAAAATTACAACGAGGTATCACTTTACAACTGTTAGCATGACCATTATTAAAAAAAACAACAACACGTGTTTTCAAGGATGTGAAGAAAGGGGAACACCTGTAAACTACTAGTGGGAATGTAAAATGGTGTAGCTGCTATGGAAATCAGTATTGAGGTTCATTAAAAAATTAAAAATAGCCCAGCTAGTTTAGCGTCAAACTATGAACCAGGAGGTCATGGTTCAATTCCATCAGAGCACATGTCTGGGTTGTGGGCTCAATCCCCATAAGGGGCATGCTGGAGGCAGCCAATTGATGATTCTCTCTCATCATTGATGTTTCTCTCTCTCTTCCTCTCCATTTTTTGTAGAAATCAATAAAAATATTTAGAAATATTTTTTT